ATTAGCTCTATTAATACATTATGAGTATAGGAACTATCGCCTATAGTTAAGAAAACTGTAAGGACATAGTAAAAATTATAAATACTCAATTAAAAATCAGATGATTTATTCTACTGAAAAAAAAATCAGATGATTTAAAAAAGACCAATAAATTAGTCTTTATATAAATTTCATATGTATATATTGACTGAAAGCATTACTAATTAGGGTTGTTAGATAAACGGAAAGATTAGGGGGGGAAAAAAAGTAAAGTAGAAATGATTCCCTGTCTTGTTTGCTGTCCATAAACAACAAAGCAAGAAAGTGAATATGTTTCTGTCACAGTCCAAGAAGAAAAAGAAAAGAAAAAACATCCCCTTCTCAAAATTTAAAATCAACTAAAATGTACTGTTTATATATGGTGGTTTTCTCGAGGTAAATATGTACATATAGGATTTTTTTTATATATATATAGTACACAGATAATAAGATTAAAAAGAATATTTTGAAAAAAAGTAACATATATTTATTATAAGTAACTAATTCAACAATTTTTTTAATATTCACAAATTAGTTATTTTAATTCTTATATTAAAAATTAAAGCGAGTATATTTTTTCTTTCCAGACATATCAAGGACTTAAAAAGCATTCTTCCGGTTCTAAATATAAGACTTTTTTTATAGTGTAAATTATACTATAAAAGAAGTCTTGTATTGGAGGATTGAGTTATACCATGAGCACCTGGTGAATAATATAATTTTAAATAATATCTTTTGAAAGCTCGCACTTTTGAAATTCTATACCTTGCGGCTTTTTTGGGTGGGAAAGAGCCTATCCTTGTTCCATGAAATTTTATAGTAGTTTCCCTCTTATTTAGAATTCCAACTCCTTTAAGTTATAAAACTCTCCAATTCTTCATTCCCTCATCAGTCTAAACCCCTCATACATGCACTCTCTTTTATGTTTTTTTTATTTTTGTAGATTCTATGGGAATTGATTCAAAAATGTGTTCGCCTGATTTCTACCAAAATGTTATCGTAATGAGACATGGTGAACGGATGGATAACTTCGAACCCTTATGGGCCTCCACTGCGACCCGACCATGGGACCCACCCTTGTTTCGAGACGGCTGGGTTCGCGCGCTAGAAACGGGTCGGACCCTCAGGAAAACTCTCGGGTTTCCTATCAATCGGGTCTTTGTCCCCCTTCCTTCGCTGCGTTCAGACTGCTTCCCAAGTTGTTACTGCTCTCTGTGCTGTCCGTGACGACACCAGTACCCTCTCTAGCCATGCCATGCCCATTGATCCATCCAAAGTCAAGGTTCGATTTTTCCTCCTTAAAGGACTGTATTTCATAAATATCATAAATTTGTTTGGAGTAATATTTGATCGAATTTGGGTTTTAATTGCTTTGGGGGGGGGGGGGGAAGGAATTTTGGTTTCAACTCTTGTAATTTCAAATAGCTGGTTTTGACCCATGTGTTTAAAAATGGAGTCAAAGTCAAGACTCATTACAAGTATAGAATTAAACATAAGACTCGAAAATTATGAAACTATAGCAGCAAAACCAAGCTTTAAAATGATAGAGACTGAAACCAAAATTCAATAAACTATAAGTACTAGCAATGATGCCAAGTCAATTTGTTTCATATCAACATTATATTTGGGTCAAACGAAATCTCGAAGGTATAATCGCCCCCCCCCCCCCAAAAAAAAAAGGTTTGGTTTCCTAACTTTGAATTACCAAGAAAGATGTCTGTATATTATGGAGACTTGGAGAGTTTTAGCTTAGATTTATGTAGGTAAAATTGTGATTGATTGTGATGGATCTCACATGCACCAAATTGTGCAGGTATCGGTTGAATATGGACTGTGTGAGATGATGAACAGTACAGGAATCAGACCTGGGGTGGCTCCAAAAGATGGAAATTTTAGTATGGATATATCGAAGTGTGAAGCCTTGCTCCCTGCAGGAACAGTGGATGATAAAGCAGAAAGATTGTATCAAGAGGTACAGAGCAATAGTTATCTCTTTTTTCTGCCGACAATATCAAAGGCTTCGCTAAACAGAAGTCAAAAGTTAGAACAAAAAAGAAACACAGAGAGATGGATAGGAATGGGACTTTCTGCCCATTGTTTGACATGCAGCATGAAATGGAATCTAAAAGGTGATGTATTGAACAAAAGTAATATTTTAAAGGGTTAATATACATTTTTGTCCCTCAAATTTACCTTCATTTTGATTTTAATCTCTTAAATTTCAAATTATAGGTTTTGGTCTCTGAAGTTTCTTTTTATTTATAACATTAGTACTTATAATCAAATAAAACTTAGACCGTTTTGCCTCTTGAGGGACCAAATCTATAATTTGAAATTTGAGAAACTTTTTGGTCAAAAAAAAAAACTTGAGAGACTAAAATCAAAATGAGAGCAAACTTAGAGGACAAAAAATTATATTAATCCTATTTTTAAATGTGAAACGTCATATATGTTCTTAAATAAAAATTAATAAAAAATGATATTGTTGAATAATGATTACAGAACCATGACGGACATCTCACGTCTTAGTTGTCATGCGATGAAAGAGTCATTTTTCCTAGTGTAAACCCAAGCAGGGCCTTCTTCCCATGTCTTTATTTCTATTCTTACTTTTTTTTACTCCCCTTCTTCAAGGGTTCCATGCTAATGCAAATGTGTAACTTGCTGATGAAAACCATATTTATTGATAAACTGCAGTTGCCAAAGTGGGAGGAGCCTATTTTGAGCACGAGGGCTAGATATGAGCAAGTATTCAAGGACCTTGCAGATAAATATCCTACTGAGAACTTGTTGCTCATCACACATGGTAATATACTTCTCTTCATTACTTGGACAGATTGTTGGATTCCTTGAAGGATCAAATCAGATCTTTTGTTGAGTCTCTCCCTTATGAGATTGTAGCTGTTGAACCCATCAAACGACTCAGAAAAGAGGGGGAAAATATCATATTAAAACACATAATTTCACTTGGTTTTGATCTAAGATGCTGGGATACGCAGTTTGACTCAAAACATTGCTTTTTATGGTCAAAGCACGCGTCCTTTCATCTCATCTTAATCATAATGCACTATTGCAGCAACTGAAATTCCGTGTTTGGATCTTACCTTTTGCCCCAAGGGAAGATCTGATTTGAAAGGGCCATCATTCTATCTAACAAAGACACTTTTTAGTTTTGAATTCAAGTTTTTCTATTCTTTTTCATATGGTAAAATACTGACTACCTCAGGGCTTACTTGGAAAAGAAGAATTTCCCTTTCTTACCTTATAAAGCATTTTGAGATTACGCTTGACAAAATTGCTGATTAAGGCCAAGTTTGGTGGTCAAATGCGTAAAACTCGGTTTGTTGCACGTATCAATTGCAAAAGTTTCTTGGGGAAGGGGATTCAAATTTTGCCTTTTGAGTAGTTTCTCATGTCTTGTAACGAATATGTGAGATACAATTATAGCTCTAGTTTGTTTAGTTGCACTTTTAGTTCTTCTATTTTAGCAGAGATGCTAATTTAGCCCCTCTAGTTTCCATAACAGTTTACACTGACGTTTCTCCTCAACTATCTCATTAGAATTTTTTTGTCTTTACTTAAATGATGAGTTATAATGCTTATTTCCTTTCGGAAGTGAAGTGTCCAATAAGAAGTAAAGGAATTGTATCTGAATCGCAGGGGAAGGAGTTCAAGTGGCTCTTTCTGCATTCGAAAAAGATGCACAAGTGACTAAAATAGAGTACTGTGCTTATGTGAAACTGAGGCGTCCTGTTTTCCAGAGAGACCACTCATTTACTGCTGGAGAGTTCAATGTGCTTAATATTTCTGGTCAATCTGGCATCACTTATTCTCTTCCAAATTCTTCCACCACTCACATCGATGAAGTTTGATAATGATTCTCACTTGAAGTCTGAGAATTTTATATTGCAAATTTAGAATCCTCCTAAGTGGATGCTGTTTTGAATTAAGAAGCCAAAACGGAATGGCATTCTTCATTTTCCTTTTTTTTTTTTTTTAATCCCCATTCATGTTTTGTGGCGTGTGTAATTTTTCCCATCGCAAGGACATTGAAATAAGTAAATGGCTCCTAATTCAGCAAAGTTTTTATGGTCCTATCAATTTTCTGGTATTTATTTGAACGTTTTATATTATTATTATTATTATTATTATTATTATTATTATTATTTAATTAAGATGATCAGTTCCAAATTTTCGTTGGAAAGTTACACTCTCTTTTTTTTTCCTTTTTAATCGTTAATATATATAAATAATAAAATTTAAACCATCCAAAATAAAAATTTGGTCACTTTTGATGATATAGAAGGGATCCAAGCTTGTATAGGAATAGGGAGTTAATAACAAATTTAGACATTACTTGACCCAGAATCATTTTGAGAAATGAAACATGATAGTTGCCATCAAACTTCTACTGAATTTCCATCAAACTTCTACAGAATTTATATTTACCATTCACTACAATTTATAATGGAAATTATAATTATAAAGTGAACTAAAATACTAATGAAATTTAAAAGATAGCAGTAATCTTGAATTACGCAAAAATAAACAACTTTGATTGTTTGAACTCAAGAAGTAACTTTACTTAAGAAAAGTATTACAGATAGTTCCATCCATTTTCAGACAAATTGTTCAAGTAAATCAAGAACATCAACAAAGACAACACCAACATTCGAACTTTGTGGTCATTCCTACAAGTGATCTTCAAGCATATCACGCCATGACGACTAAATATTACATACATAAATATATAGAACTAGCAAGATAAAATATGCAGTGTGTGTATGTTTTTGTACGTGTTTGTGAAGAAGTACACATAAGTCATCACAGCTCTGATGATGATGGGCTTGGAGGTAGCTGAGGATGATCAAACATATCATCTGGAAAATCATCAAAGAAGCATTCAGGGTTTGTGGGGTTGTTCCCATTTGGACCCCTCGTCCCAATTCTACAACTTCCTGATGGATCATAGAAAGGAAACCCTAAAATGGAATCTGTGTTCCTATTCCAAGTTCTGAGGCATCATCATCCATAGGGTCCCCTACTAATCCCAATTCATCAATGAAACCAGCAGACTCATTAGATCTGGCCAAGAAAAGATCTTGACTTTCCATTGAGAATGGAAAAATCTGCGGGAAACCAATTCCTGAGCTTATGTCAGTGCTCATGTAGCTCTCAAACGATGTCGCAAACTCTTCTTTGATCGAATTGACTGTGTCAGAACTCGAGGGATTGGTGGAGTTCATGAGATCTTGCAATGGCACCATCTTTATGACCTCTGAATTCTCAGTAGTAAAGGATGATGAGCGTGGCTGATGAGCTTTTGATGATGATTCTTCCACAGATGAAGAACTGAACTTACGAGCCTAGAAAACCAATGAATAAAAGAAAGTCATATGCAAATATTAGAAACTTCAATGAGGAAACATAACCAATATATAGGCATTTGCAGTATACCTCTGTGCATCCTCAGTGCAAACAATTTATGGATATGGCAACTCAAGAAACTGACCCAGTTCCCACACAACCGGTAAGACTCTCCATGCAGAATTGAGAAGCCAGATAGTGACCCAAACAGATACGAGACTCACTCAAGTTTCTAGTCCACTTTCATTATATAGTTCAGTTTAACACAGTAGTCAAGAAGACCATGAAGCATAGTTATATAATATCCAATGTGTGACCTATACTGACTTGACATAATGTACACTCCTACTAATGAACATCATTACATTACGGTATCATGTCTGCGTCGAATAATTCCTGGCGTGAAGAAAAATAAAGCCAAAGCAGAGAACTAGAATTCCAGAATTGCCCTAACCATTGACTAGAACAAATGGGGAAAAAAGATAGGAAGAACCAAGGAATTGCTATAAGAAACCCCAAACACTTAATCTTTGAACTTCAATGAAATTTTAAATCAAACATCGATGGAATAACAAAAGGACTGTAATACATGATTCTAAAATATCATACTTAGATTAAAAGACCGACAAGAAAAATACCTCAATTACCTCCAGAGGGGAAACATTGTGGAAACTGGGGACTTCATTTTTGTTCTTGTAGGATTTAGATGATGGCGGTGAAGAATGCAGAATCCTAGCGATCCTCTTTCGCCTACTACTCCAGAAATTCTTGACATCATTATCTGTTCTTCCTGGCAAATAAGACGCAATCTTGGCCCATCTGTTCCCAAATTGTGCTTGCAACTCAATCACCACCCTCTCCTCCTCCAGCGAAAATTTGCATCCACTAATTCAAAAAAACAAAACCCCATCAAATAATTTCAACTATAAGCTTAAACACTCAAATCTGAATCAACACAGCAACAACAGAGAACAACCCAGTAATTAAACGTGTTGTTTTTTGTATAGACTCAAACAGAACTTTCATCAAACAGCAAATAGACTAGATGATGCATATAGAAAAGAGGAATGAGTAAATACCTCTTGAGGTTTGGACGAAGCTTATTGACCCAACGAAGACGACAAGACTTGCCGGTGCGTTGAAGAAGGCCCTTGGATCGAATGGAGCTCCAGTCTCTGGGGCCATACTTGTTGACATGGCTTAGAAGCACTTCGTCTTCCTCGGCTTTCCATGGCCCTTTCCTTATAGGCCCTTGATCCTTCTTCTTCACTTGCATTATTCTCTGCAAAACCTCTCTCTCTCTGAAGTCTGAACAATGTCTTTTTCTCTGCGTGTGTTCTGTTTTCTCTCTGGACTCTGGAGTTCTATGTGACGGTTTTGGCGGTTACTTCCACTTCCCCTCCATTACTAAGCCCACGTTCCTGAAAAATCGCATTTCAAAATGATTGTGGAATGACCAAATTGCCCTCTTCAAGCTTGGACTATTGGAGGAGTGGGATTTCGGGCTGATTTGTTGTTTGCGGGTCATAGATTTCAACTCTTTTTGGGACGAGCTAGTAATTATCAATTAGTATAAAATAAATTCCTTTTGTTAAAAAAATTAATTCTTTTTTGCCCCTGAAAAACTACTTTGGATTAATATAATATTTAGTTGTTATAATTTATCCTCATTTTTTCCCTATAGTTTATATGCTTTGATTCTTTCAGAAGTAAAATAATCCAGATTTTTATTAAAATATAAGGATTAACATTTTTTATAGAAAAAATTAAGGGCCAAAATCTATGATTTAAAATTATAAGAAGCAAAACTAAAATGACGACAAACTATAAATACAAGACATTGTATCAACCCAATTCTTTTATTAGCTAACACCTCATTTTAGTTGTTTACCGTTGGAAATTTTTAATTTTAATGAGTAATTAAAGCATCTTCTCAGTCCAAGTCTTCACCAATATAGTATTTCACAATTTAATCCTGGCGTATTATTCTTAAAATATAGATATTTTACCATTATTAAACCAAATACTAGTGTGGTTGAGACTAAACCAAACCGAAAGCTCAAACTAGTCTTAATCATCAATTGGCAATTATAACATGCTGTTTCACATTGTTAGATCACTCCACGGATTTAGCCATTTAGGCCTCATTTGGAGTTACATTTAAAATCAATTGTAAGCGCATTTTACATAAAATGAAATAAACCTCTCTCATATATTTACATATGTAAATTATGATTGAAAAATTGTTTATAAGCTATTCTAAGTGAGTTCTTAATTGATTTAAGTCGCTTTGAGTTGAGATTTAAACTGAAAATCAACAAGTAACTGAGAATTGAGAGCGGTTTGAAGACAGTTAGTCAAGTCGCCGGGGGGGAAGACGAAATTGGAATAAGAGAAAGAAAACCAGAAGGAAAAAAAAATCTAATTCCTAATTTTATTTTAAAATGGATCTTCTTTTATGAGTATGACCGTCGCTTGTATAAACCCCAACACAAAATGCAACGATGTTTGAAAGCTCTGCTAGTCCTTGGAAAGTTCAACAGAACTCGTTGTCTTTGCTCTGATGGATCCAACACAAATGGATCCATCCTTCATTCCTGCTTTATATGTCTTTGCCCAGCCTCGGTGGTGGATGACAAACCAATAGGTCCCTAAAAGTTATAGCAAAAGCTCTCAAAGCTTGCTGGAACCTTCAATAGAGGCTCAAAGTCTGAGGTAATAACAATCTCTTCATCATCAACTTTTACTGTGTTCAAGATCTCCTCTTTGCTCACCAGAATGGCCTTTGCTCGGTTGGGAATGCATTGTTCGAGATCAATCTATTGTCTACTTTGGCGTATGGGGACTGATCAAAGAATAGAATATGCAGTGGCTACTTGAGGGTAAATGGATACCATTTCTTCAAGATTCCAAACTTGGAATGCGATGCTTTTATCACAAGCGGATGGGTTATATCTTTGATAAATCCACCATAGCTTCCATGCTCAACTACCAGTTGACTTACCTGAAGTTATCTTAAAATTGGTCTTTTTACTTGGACTCTGTTTGTAGTAATTTCTTCAAGGGGCAGTTTTCTGATGGGAAAAGAATACATCTGAAAAAATGGGAGGTTCGGTTAAGTTCAGCTTATGAGATAATTATGACTTTTGGTCTATAATTGATTTTGGCATGTGTATAGGAGGGATGTTTGGTAGCTTATAAAACCACCATGATTTTTTTATTCATAATTGATTTTGATATGTATAAATTCTCAGAGTAAATGAAATTTTGCTGCTTCAGCATGATATGACCTGACTTACCATTTAAGAAAACTGTTATACAAATATTAAAAACATTTGAAATAAATAAATTCATACCAGCAATGACTACCATAAGAAAAGCAACCCACAATGCCAAATTACCACCAACGTTATACAGACAACACAAGATGTGGAGTTTCTATCAAGCCTGTATTATTAATATCCTAGCCCTTCTATTTTATCAGCATACAGAACTGCTTCTATCAGCGTTGGAGACCCCCAAAAAAATGCTCCTAAAATAATTTCCCAAATAAATAAATCTTGTAGTTGCCTTATGTTTTTTCCCCCACTTTTTTTGAAAAAAGAATTAGATCCTATTACTACTTCATATATAACTTCAGGGATAAAAGTTTAGAACCATAAAAGAGAACGGCACTTCCATGTCAGCTGTCAACTCCATGACAGTAAATATACAATCTTCATAACTTTTCCGCCGTATACAATTAACATCTAAGAATATAAAGAAGCAAGATGTTCATATGAAAATATGACAAAGGTTATAATTGGCCTACTTACGTCTCATCTAATATAATCAGTCTGCAGAAGGATGAACAAAGATTCACATCATTAGGGGTTAGCATCTCTCAAAAATCTTAACACTTAGGATCTTTTAAACGGAAACGCAGCCTTGCAAGATAAGATATTCCCAGTTCCTTCTTAACAACTCTGTCACAAGTTTGAACCCTGGCTGCTGCCTTGCACAGACAGCAATTCACATTCCTCCATGAGCCCTCAGGGCAAGGGGTGCTAGGGACGCCATTGATGGAGCATAATCCAGACAAGGGAAAAACAAAAACAAGCTGCCAGAGCATATGAAGAACCTGTACAAAATCAGTCAGAATATGTCCCTCGGTTCATTCACAATACATGGGCAACAACTAATGATTATAAGAATTAGTGTTTGGAGGTACATAGAATTGCTCAAACCAATGTTTCGGAGCAGCTGGGTGAATTTTGTAAGCTATATCTACAAATTGATTGTTGCTTCTAGAAATCACAGTTGTGATGGTATACTTTTCTCCAAACAGACCTTTTTCTTTAAGCCACATGTGGAATCCGTACCTAGGCTTAATTCGGTTCTCTAGATTATAATACAAAAGTGCCGCCAAAGGAGTCAGACACTGTAAAGGGATTCCCATTTCCTGACAGAAGAATTTCACCTTCTCATCCATAACTTGAGATTTTTGGTTTAGAATTTTAGGTGCTTTTTTCACCATGATACAGAGCTTTGAGAATTCAAACCCTAAATGCAGAAGGAATTCAAACCTTTTCTGTAACTTCCAACTATAGCCATGCAAGTAAGCTGCAATGTCTATAGTTACAGCATTTTCTCCAAAGCCCAAGCCATGTAAGAAATTCAATTTGCTCAACATATGATTTCGGGAACTGGAAGCACAAATCATCGTTAAGCCGGCTTGATACTCTTTATCCTTCTCTTCATTAGGATGGGTTGCAAGATAACTTATTAACAAGTTATGATTTCCATCCTTCATCTTGTTGAAGAACCATCCATGTAAATCCAAAGCTCTCATTACATTAGGCAGATTATCCATCTTGTTCGTCCCCAATACATGATCATATTTTTTACTAACATCCTCCAGAATTTTAGGGCTCAAGCCAAAGTGTTTCAATAGCTTTGATACAGAAACCACTGGCATCTGCAAATCAAGATTCAACAACTCTGGGGCTTTTAAAAGTAAAAGTGCTACTTCCTCTTTTTGGACACCAAATCTACAGAAATACTCTGCCTTTTGAATCAACTCATCTTCTCCATATTCAATAAAGATGGTTTTGCCCTTCCCATGAGCTCCCCTAACTTTCCCTTCTCACCATTTAAATTATAGAACACCCGAATTTTTCTACATACTTCATGCCAAGAATCTATATTTCCTTCGACATATCTTGCCAATTCAAAATCAAAAAACACTGACTTCAGATCAGTAAACAGGCCATCAATTTCGCCATCAACCTCTTCACCTTCCTTACCCAAGATATTGGGGAAAGCTAGACATATACCAACCACTTCAACATTACCAAACCCGCGCTTCTTAAACTCATAGAGTTTAGACCCCAACTCTTTGGAACTTCTCCTGAACACGGAACTACATTCCTTATACAAGTTACCCAGCTTATCCCACGGAAACCCAAAAAATGAAAGGGCGCGAGCTGCCTCCAGAAGTGACCCATCTTCAGAAAAGAAGACCTTATTCGGAGGCAACAACTCAGAAACGCCATTATTGTAGTCTATGCCTATGCTTTCAAAGAAAAATTCGAACTCATCGATGGGGTTGTACCTGAGGTATTTCTCGAAATTTCTCGAGAAAGTGGAGGCCGAGAAATCCACCTTCACAATGAGGTTAACGAGGGAAAGGAGGGAGTTCTTTGCAATCTGATCCGCTAACACAAACGGCAAGCATCGAGTTTCGTGAAGGTAATCGGTGAGGACTTTCTGGGCTTCACGGACAGCGAACTTTTGGTACCTTTGGGGGATTTTTGAGGATTTCAGGAGCTTCCTTGTGGTGCTGCTGGTGGTAGAAATGTGGCGGAGGAAGATTTTAGCAAAGGAATTCAGAAACATGCTTGAACAAGCTTTGGTTTCTTCATTATCCAGAATTGATATGGAATTGCGGGGAGGATCATCGGGCCAAAGCCAAGCCAAAACAAGCAAGAAACTGGATTGAATAATTAATTTATCAATAACAAGCCAATATGCCCAATACAATTCTCAAAAAGCACCCGGCTTGGTGGTCTTCTGCTTAAGATTGCGCGCACGCAGTTGCACATAATTAGAGCCGGTAATATAGGTTGGACCCGTCAACTGATCAAAAATGACGGGTTAGGGTTGGCCAAAATGGCCAACCTGTCATTACTTTAAAAAACATAACCCGCACCGCCATAACCCTAACCCGTGACGGGTTAACCCACGAGTTAACCCACCTATTTTAAAAAAAAAAAAAAAAGGCAAAAGGAAAACAAAAAAATTTTTACTTCAAACTTTATTGTCATTAGAAATAATTAGATAAAGAAGGTTATTCAGTATTGCTCATTGGTTTCATTGAAAAAAATGTGTGAACTTATGTATTATCATGTTGAAAAATTGGACAATCATATACTATTTGTATTTTATTGTGTTGTAATTTTATTTAGATGTTTCTAATATTTTATATTATTTCTAGTATTTTTATTTTGTATTATATATAACTGCTAACATTTAAAAAAATAAGAAAAATTTAAAAAAAAAAAAGCAAGAAAAAAAATAAAAATTTTGGCGGGGCCAACCCACCTTAGTCGGTTAGGGTTGGCAAAATGCCAACTCGTCAGAAAACGGGCCTTTTGAGCCTGCACCGCACACAACCCGCAACCCGCCGCGGGCCAACCCACAACCCGCGGGTTGGCCCGTTTTACCAGCCTTACCCATAATCACGTATGTCTCTAATTATGTTTAACTAGAAATGAAAAAATAAAGAAATAAAAATATTATTTTATCAATATTTTGAAAAATATAATAACTTTTTTGACAGTAATAAAAAAATTAAATTATTAAATGTAAAATAACTGTTATTTATTTACATATATTAAATGAATGATTAAAGTTTGAAATAGATTCAGGCAAAAAGATTGAAAAAATTTGGATAAAAGATGGATACTTATATTACTAGGTCAAGTTCCCTAATCATTGCATCATTTTATTATAGTTGTTAAAATGTGCATGTATTAAATTCACATATGAATACTTGTAATTTTTGTGTTTCGGCTCTTATAATATAAATTAGAATTGACATATTTTTATATAGATATTTATTATTTTGTTATTTTTATTTGTTTAAATGCGTAAGCGTATTATATATGGATTCACCAATAAAATATAGACACTTATTATTTTAATATTATTAATTGTTAAAATTTATTATATACTCGTGAATTCACTACTCAACATAAGTTCTGTTGCACACTTCTTATCATTCTCATGTGAAGTTTCTAACTTCCTATGATGTATCTCTTTACCATACAAGAATCTGCTTTTTATATGAAAATTGCAAAATCATGCAATTCCCTCACAAGATATTCTTTAAAAAAAAAAAAAAAGGGAATCATTTGAATGGTTTTGAACCTTTTGGTGAATGTCTCCTTGGCTGCTCCCAATAGGAGGCAAGAGAGCACCTCTTCGTTTATCTGTTTGTGTTAAATCTCTTTGGTTTGGATGTTTTTAAATAAGGATTTAAGCTTATGCTTTTAATGCTTTTGTTAGTTGGCTTAAGTGTACATTGCATCAATTGCACAAAGGATGGAAGACAACTAGACAAGGCTGGTACTCCTCATGTCCTTAACATAGGATTTAATTAGGAAGTTAATGTTAGTCCTATATGTAAAATTTCTTTCATATGTTGATCAATTTTTTCTCAAATTAACTTATTGATATTCTTCCAATAATAATTAGGTATGAGAGGGATGGAGAAAATTAAGCTAGATACTTAAGATATTTTAGGGAAAAAAACATATCATATTAACTAACTTAACTAACATTCTTAATCTACTCAAATTAGTTAATAGATCTTAGAATAAGGATCAAAACACTCATTAACATGATTTCAATGAAGGGAAAATAGGGCACCCTCTCACAATCATGAAGGAAAGTTTTGGTATGCTTAAGTTCTCTTCCTTGACTTTCTCCCATAATGAACAATAATGTTGTCATGCTTTAATCACCACATTTAAAACTCGAGCACAGGAATCTTGGATCGGTACTAGGAAAAATAAAAGACATAGCATCGGGTTTTTTGACTTTGTCATGAAATTTTGCGTTTGAAAGGAGGCTCTCCACAAATTTCAATGGCCTCGTTGTTTAGCTCCCCATATTTTTTCTACTCATTGTGTTTAAGGGTTCGTTTTTGTATGAAAGAAGTAGAGGGAAGGGGGGAGAGAGAAAATTTTAATGTGCTCATTTTAAAAAATTGAAATAATAAGGTTAAAATTTTCTAATTGATTTTGCTTCCTCTTTTATCTTATTTTTTTATTAAAATTTTTTGACCCAACTTTTTCTATTTCTTAAAATGAGCTTGTTAAAATTTTTCCTCTCTTTCCTTTCCTTTCATTTCTCTCATACCAAACAGAACCTAGGTATTTTTATCTTAGATTCACCAATATGAATTGACTCAAAAAGAATAGAACCTTTTAAACATAATCTGTATCAACAAGCAATTTATATGTTCTCCACAAAGCTTCTACAGCCTCACAAAAGCCTATACACTATCCCATGTGGTTTGGCAAGATATCATTACCTTTGTAGATTTTTCCCCCCATGGTTTTTGTATGCTCTAATTATGTTGATAGAAGTGATTACATGCTAACAGAAAGAAAGACTAACTAAAAGAGAAGGACTTAGACATCCTAATTAGGCATAAACAGTTTTTCAAAAGGACATTACTATGATGTTGCATGCTTAGCTGCTGCTGAAGCAATTTGATTAGGTTCCCATCCGTAGAGTAGATGTGCAAATCATGAGAGGTAGGCGAGGAGATAATAGCCCGCTTCACTATAAGTAAGGGAGCTCGCCTTAATGCAGATAGATGAATAAACCATTTTAGATGATTTCCTTTATCACAAGAGAATGTATGAAAGGGCTCCCCTTGTTAAAAGATCTTAACTTGGATCCTCATGAGAGATTTGGAGTTGCAAATTTTCATTGCATGAACCATTATTGTCCAACCATGCCCCATAATGATATCTTGCAACTGAGGTGGAGGAGACTTTGGAGTCCTTCATTGTTGATCCATACAGTGCCACTGACCACCTATTGTATTGGTAGCATATACAATAGAAAGAACTTGGCTTGGGTCAATATGCGCACCTCTAAAAAGGCATTCAATTCTAAAATACCAGATATAATATAAAACCAGACATATGAACTTGCCAAACGCCTTATCTACATTCTACATGTGACAGTGAATTATGTAGCCATACATCCAGAGAAATTGTTCGATCAGTATTAGATTTAAAGGGTAAATGTGATCCAAACCATATAGCTCTAGACCATGGACAAAGTAGAAACAGATGTTCTCTGGTTTCAACTGTTGGACAGCCAAATAGACAATTGGGATCCACATTTATATGATGTCTAATCATCATATCTTTGACTGGTATGGCATGATGTAAGAGCTTCCAAATGAACAAAGCAACAGGAGGGATGAGATAAAAAGCTATTGATTATCTCACAGGAATTATCAAAAATGAGATGAGTACTTACCAGAGTTTTGTAACCATCTGCCACTAAGTACTTATGACAACAATTACTTGTCCACATTAAGCCATCATGACACTGGAGAACTGAAATGGGATGTGAAGAATCTCTTCTACTATGTTTTTATCATAAAGGAATTTGAGAAGTCACATATTCCAACACCCTTGATTGTGCGGTAACAAGTCGCCCACTGATGTTTTTGTAAATGGGCGGACACACTGCAAAGACCACCAGAGGCGGCTATAGAGGTTGATTTGTGAACCATTTCCTAATTTCCATCCTAGATTATCAAGGATTAACTCTTTAACTCTGCTAATATTTTTCCACATCAGGGACTCTATAGCTCGCAAAACCAGTATTCCTTCTTCTTTCTCAAAAACATATTTGGGTTTTATAACTAAAGAAAATAAGGAGTCCTTATCAGCTACGAACAAATGCCAAATATGTTTTGCAAGTAAGGCCTCGTTGAAGACCTTTGTCTTTTTGATGCCAAGGCCACCCTGGCACTTAAGAAGAGAGATCTTATCCCTGCCAATCACCAATGAATATTTTTCTTGTTATTTTGAGAACCCCAAAAGAAGTTTGCTATTTTCATATCAATTTCATGACTTATATGTAAAGGAAGCTTATAACAAGAGAGAGGATAGACCAACAGAAAGGAAATTGCAGATTTAATCAAGGTTAGTCTACCTGCTTGAGAAAGTAAACGAGCGTGCCAAACTTGCAATTTCGAATCTACTTCATCCAAAATATCCATGTATAATACTAATTTATCTTTTCCAAGATCCATATATTGACCTAAATATTTACCAAATTTGGAAGCAAAGTGAAACCCAAGAATGCCAGAGAGTCGTCTTTTTCCTTCATGGTTGACATTAGGACTGAAGACATGATGAGGGATTTCTTTTTATTAACTATTTGTCCTGCTAATTTCCCATATTTATCAAGAATATTAGCTACTAAGCGCATGGAGTTATCATCAGCACACACACAAAGAAGATTGTGTCATCTAAAAATAATATATGAGACGGGCCAAAGAATTCTTTGATACTCTAAAGCTTTTCCAACTTCCTGTATGTTGTCCTATAAAATCCAAGCTGAGAGAACATTAGCACATAAAATGCATAAATATGATGATAGTGGGTCCCCTTGTCTTGTTCCACATGTAGGAGTAGAGGATTGAGATGGAGCTCCATTTAATAAAACTTGAAAGGTAGAGGAGGTAACACAAATCATTAACATTTGGATCCATTCTTCTGGAAAAGCCATTCGCAACAAAACTGCATGTAAGAATTGCTAAGAGAGCCAATCAAATGCTCTATCAATATCGATCTAGACAACACACCAGCCTTTTTTTTTTTTTTCCCTTGTTGATTTCATTTTAGCTAAAATTTCATTGACTACCAAGATAAGATATTGAATGTGTTTGGCATCACGATCATAATACCTCCCAAACCGACTTCTCCATCGGAATAATGAAAAAATGAAAAAAGCAACTTTTTGTTTAAATGTCATGCTTGGAGTGGTCATAGAAGGAAATGGGCTTATGTCTAAAAAGAACTTTTGTCCAAAAGCTCCAATTCATTGCTTCGCGACTTCTCCACAGCAAGATTGGATAGGTGGGGCCATATGAGTGAGGAAAGAGAGAGAATGCTTTATGCTGCATGATGTGTATTTTTTAAAAAAATTTTTTAGCCCAGCCATTTTTAATGTTAAAGAAATTATTTTTGAATAATAAAACCATTTTTAAATAAATTTATTATTTTTTATTATTTTCTATCATATTTATAAAATCTATGGAAATTTGAGAAAAATGTTGTATTAAAAATTTATTAGTAAGAAGTAATTGATAAATTTTATATACTAAGTGTAAATATTATAGATATAGAATGCTTGTATTATGATTTAAATCCTTCTCACTAATTATATTTTTATAGGAGGACTTTTTCTCAATTTTTCCTAAAATTTAAATATATTATTTTAGTTTTAATTATTCTTTAAAATAACTATGTTTATTTTTACAATTATAATTTTAATTAAAATATGTATCATTCGATAAAATTTATGCCCTTTTCAGTCATTTTACATCTAAACTTATTTTTACATTTATCATCTAAATAAGTTTCAATTTTCAAACTGATTTTTTTACAAAACTTAATCTAAATATAAATCGCACATTA